CACCTCCTGTGGCAGTGAGTTCCATGTGTTAATCACTCTTGGGGTGAAGAAGTACTTCCTTTTAACTGTTCTAACCAAACTGCTCAGCAATTTCATGGAGTGCCCACGAGTTCTTGTATTGTGAGAAAGAGAGAAAAGTACTTCTTTCTCTACCTGCTCTATCCCATGCATAATAAACCTCGATCAGGTCACCCCTCAGCTGTCATTTCTCCAAGCTAAAGAGCCCCAAGCATTTTAACCTTTCTTCATAGGAAAGTGTTCCAATCCTTTTATCATTCTAGTTGCCCTTTTCTGCATTTGTTCCAATGCTATAATGTCCTTTTTGAGGTGTGGTGACCAGAACTGTACACAGTACTCCAAGTGAGGTCAAACCACTGATTTAAACAGGGGCATTATGATATTGGTGATTTGTTTTCAATTCCCTTCCTAATGATCCCCAGCATAGCATTGGCCTTTTTTATTGCAGTCGCACACTGTCTCGACATTTTTATTGAGTTATTTACTACGACTCCAAGATCTCTCTCTTGGTCAGTCTCTGCCAGTTCGGACCCCATCAACGTGTAGTTATAGTTAGGATTTTTGGCTCCAATGTGCATCACTTTGCACTTAGCCACATTAAACCCCATTTGCTACATTGACGCCCACTCACCCATCCTCGACAGATCCCTTTGGAGTGCCTCTCGACCCTCATGCTCCCTGACAATAGCGGGGCTGCCATATTCAGAGTGGGACATATCTAACAAGTCCCAGAGAGTCTTCCCCATACACCTGACTGTCTCTGCTTCTCCAGGTCAGCCACCTTGGCCTCAAGGGAACTAACTTGTTCCCTGAGGACCAGGAGCTCCTTTCACCGGGCAAATACCCAAGACTTCTGTGACACTCCATGCAAAACACTGGATAGCCCCCAACCCCCTGCTGGCATTCTGGCTTCATAATTGCTTTTAAACTAATAATTATATATAACCCCCCCTTTTAAAACCCTTTGTATTTATGTGGTTCTCCTTGCAGAAGTCTACTTACCTTATTGGGAACCCAAGGAAACTAGGGCCCTGGCTTTCTGGCTCTTCCTGGGCTTCTTACAGAGTATCTAGTCCAAGAGTCCCTAGGCTAAGAGCCACAGGCCAAGAGCAAATAAAAAAACACCCCTCTAGCAGCTCTATTTTTTGCTTCTTCTCAGAGGTCATCTGGGTCAACTCTGGTGAGGTGCTGCCTTAAATAGAAGCCTCCCCCAGCAGAGGGCATGGCCAGCAGCTATTCAAATTCAACCAAGCACTCAATTACAGTCAAACAATGCCCCCTTCTCACCCTATCTCATATAGCCAGGACTCTGCAACAACTCAAAACTCATCCACACACTCCCAGACACAGTTCCCATACACACCACCCTCTCAGCTAAATCACCTCAGCTGAAAGGAAATAAAAAACTTTCACCCCTCTAGCAGCTCTATATAAAAACACTCACCTCTCTAGCAGCTCTATTATTTAATGATAAATGTGTACAAAGGTTTGTTCAATCACTGAGTAAAGTACAACTTTTCATATGAGATCACTGGCACAGAACAAAAGGGAGAAAAGCTTTTAGTTAGTGTCACCACTGTGTTACAAAATGAAGCACAGTTAAGTTGCTTGTATTCTCTTGATGCTTTGAGCATACTACTCAAAAATCATAAAAAACACAGTGGAACAAATGTTAATTTGTTTATTCATTTAAATATATAGAATGCATTTTAAACCCTGTCTTGTTGCCACTCCTGGTGTGACATTTAATTGGGAGATTTATTTTGAAAACCCATTCGTTTGTTTTTACAATCTCATTGCTTCACTATTGCTTGCCATTTCTGTTATCACATTCTATAACTCCTGTGTACTGTCAATAACCTGTTTCTTCGGGATGAAAGAAATGCCCTCGAACCAAATAAATAGCAGCACCTACCCTTCTGCTGCCATACACTATATGGCTGCTACTAGCCCCCTCTTTTTAAAAATAAGGACAATGTGTTCCTAGACAGTAGTAGATCAAGAGCCCAGGGCAAAATGAAAGGGTCCCCCTACACCTCCAGCCGTTTAGATAACCATATTATATGTCCAACTAGATCCTTTGTTATTGAATAGGAATATGATAATATGCTACATATGGAATAATTAATTATTATTTTATTTATTTATATTATTTATAGTCCGTCTTTCTCACATTGACTTAAGGTGAATTACACAGTGAGCCTGCAGAATATAACAAGGGACAGTCAATAACTAATGCATTAGGACTTTAGAAGTCTGGAGCCACCAGAATGACATAGAACCATAGTATAAGTATTAACATAACACACTAAACAGTACAGAAATTACATAACAAGATCACACAATATGCTATATATAACAGTAAATACCACAAGTCCCAATCATTTACCCAAGTAAGTTTGTGAAACCATTTATTACCTGTGCAGAAAAGCCCTCTTGAATAGGAGCCAATTTGGTGTAGTGGGTAAGTGCATGGACTCTAATCTGAAGAACCGGGTTTGATTCCCCACTCCTCCACTTGCACCTGCTGGATGACCTTGGGCAAGCCATAGTTCTGTCAGAGCTGTCCTTGAAAGAGCAGTTTCTGTCAAAGCTCTCTCAGCCCCACCTACCTCACAGGATGTCTGTTGTGGGGAAGGTAAGGGAAAGGAGATTGTAAGCTGCTTTGAGACTCCTTTGGGTATTGAAGGGCGGGGTATAAATCCAATCTCCTCCTCTTCCTCCTCCTGTTTTGCATAGTTCTCGGAAGACCAGGAGAGTGGGAGCTTTTCTGACCTCCTCGAGCAGGCCATTCCACAAGGCGGGAACCACAACAGAGGAAGCATATATTCAGGCAGTTGATGGTTTTGTCCATTTGCAGGTTGGCACCTGCAGAAACCCCTGCTGCCATCAGTGGAGTTGATGTGGCAGAGCATAGAGACAGCAGTGGTCCCATAAATAAGAGGATCGAAGACCATGTGATAGCCAATACCTTAAACTGAGCTTGGTAACATATGGGAAACCAATGGAGGTACCGCAGAATGGAAGTGACAGACAAATCGAGGTATGGGACCATTTTACGGGCTAGGTTGTAAGAAAGCATTTCTTGCAGCTGCATTAACTTGCTTCTCCAGTAATAAAGCTGGATCCAGTATGACCCCCAAGGTTTTTATCTGAGTTAGCAAGTTGAACTTCATCGGAAGTGGAGACAACAATGTTCTTCAAGGTCTCCACCTTCCCAACCAGCATTACCTTTGTCTTTTCAGGGTTTAGTTTCAATTTGTTCACTTTTAACCAGTTAACCACTGCAATCAGGCGGTGATTCAGGGCCCCTACTGCATCACCAGGAGATTTGGATAAGGATATATAGAGTCGAGTATTGTCAGCATATTGATGACAATCAGCCCCAAAACTATGAATTATTTGTCCTAAAGGTTTACATAGAGATTTTAAATTATGGGGGATAGAACTGTGCCCTGCACAATCCCACAAGATAGGTCCCACACCAATGACAACTGGTTTCCAAGAGCAACCCTTTGAATCTGATCCATGAGGAATGGTTTGAACCAGTTTGAGAAAATAAAGAGCTGCACCAGTCACAAGAGATAAAAATGGGGCCAAGGATGATGGTGCAAAATCAGGTAAAAATATCCCAGTCCTATTCTTCATGCAATTTCAAGAATAAGCTCTAGTGGGTTTGTATGTGACTGATATTTTAGGACTTGAATTTTAACTTTTAATACAATACCTTATTTATATAATTTTAACTAAACGTATGTAAACTCAATGTTGTTATTATGTATTACAGATTTCCCCTGACGAAGCCTGTTGGCAAAACACATAGGGGATTTTTGGAAATGTAATTGAATAATAGAATATATTTTTACCCTATTTTTATCTCCTTGAACCAGTTCAACAAACATCCTGATACCTACTTCTGCCTCCAGGCAGAATTCAATAATTCTTTTTTTCTCATTTGGGTAAAACCTTATAGCGGAAAAATCATGAAAACATGAAATCATCCCTTTTACTTTGCCTTTCTGAAGTTTTGTGCCATTCAGGCTCTTTGATTCTATTCTCTTGTTGGCTAGTCAGGACACCTTCGATCACAATTCCGTTCCTTTCTTCAACTGTGTAGGCACAACATGTAAACATGCTAATGCACATGTTGCCTACTGCCTGTTGTTAATTTGCTACTTGCTACTTGTCTGCTTCTTCTTGGATAATTATTATAGTTTGATTATCTTTGTAGACAGGAACTGATGATTCTTTGCTGCTTTGGGGATTAACATGGAATATCAGTACATTTAAAAAAAAAAGTGCAGTTCTATTTTTGTGGCATCTTGCAATATTTATTTTTATTGAAATCTTCTAACAAAGTTAGAGTCTTTACAAACTGAGAGAGCTCTACATCATGTGGAGATGTCTACTCTTCTTTCTTTCATGTTTTTCCCATTAACAGACGCTCATTTGCTCTTTCAAGATTCTGAGCCTCATAGAACATATATAGTCCTCACCGAGATTTTTTGGTTTTTAGTGGTGGGCTCTTTGTTTCCATTTATATATTTTTTTCTCTGTGTACTTAGTATGGAAATGGCAGCTTGTCTGTTGGTGGTCCTGAGCAGCACAGGGACCAGCCAATTTACTATTAGGAATGACCGGGGGGTGGGGCACAGTAGTCTGTTGAGGGGGGAAATGAGCTTTATGATATGCTAAAGCAGAATGAATTTATTGTGGAATTGATCCCCAGGCATGGTGAAGCATGTGAAAACATATGAAGCATCAGTCTTGCTGTGGCTATGCAGGTCTGTTTATGGTCAGTGACTGTACAGCAGATTATCTGGGAATGTTGTCTTCAGTTTCATGATGGAAGAAAAGTGTAATATAAATGTAATAAATGAACAAGCTTTCATGGACTTTTCTAGTAAATCCTTTCTTTTCCTTTTGCAAATTCAAAAAAGCCATGACCCAGGTCTTCTTTTTATGATTTATAGAATACTTACACTTCTGTATTTTACAATATATTCCAAAATAGGAGCTCCTCCATCATCTTGTTTGGTTATGATAAGTTTATAGCTCTTCCCAATGCCCACTTGTCCATGAATGGTCGGGGGGCTGGGTTCACCTAAAAGGCGAGATGACAGGGACAAAAACCCATTTATTTTATTTAGTCTGCTTTTCTTGTTGAGCCATATAGCAATACCATGATTTATAAGAGTTGAGTACAGACAGAAGTTTAAACTAAGCTAACTGATCAACAGTACAAAAATGCATATCTCACTTAGGCCAAGTACCCTCACTTGGGAATAAATATCACTGAAATAACAGGACTTCTACATATGGAAATTTTTATAATTAGGATGCAAGTTATGTACCTGCTTTACAATTGCTTTTAGTTTTGGAAAATTGTTCCATATATTCATTTGCACTACACTTGTTCATATATGGTACATGAAGGTACATTTGTCATATCTGGAGAACTGTGCCCATGATATTGGTGATGCCCAGAGATATTTTTTACTTTTGTTTTCTTTGAAGGCCATACAAGAAATTCAAATTCCCTCAGTTGTTAAACAGCATATTATGCAGCATGAGAGACCATTCTTAGAAAAAAATGAGCATAATGTCACTTGGGCACACAGAACTAGTGGTGCAGGGATTTTTTGACTCTCTACCAATGAAGATTTTTACTCCCATTCTAAACCAATTGATTGAACTGCTTTACAGTAGACTAGAATAACTCAGTGTAGGATTTGTACTGCAAGTATATGATCTTATTGATACAGGAAATCTATCTAAGCTGAATACATTTGTACTACTATGTGCAGGAGGTTTTTTTTTTTAATCGTGTACTCACTGGTATTGAGTATTGGCACTTTTAGGGGGGAGCTCTTGGAAGTCCTGAATGGTGAATTGGTGAAAATGGGAACAATTTTATATATAAGTACCAGCATTTTTAAAAACAAAAAAAGCATTGGCTATGTGGAAAGGAAATTGATAATTTGGGGGAAAGAAACACATTTAATTAGTATGAGTGTGACTGGATGTCTCTCATGTCTAAAGCTTCATCAAGTTATTCTTTATTATTTCAGGGTAATGCAAATTTAATACAAAGAAAAATTATTTGTAAATTGCACAATGTGTCCATCTACATATTAATTACATATATTAGACATATCAATTAGTACTTTTAAAAATGACATAATAGCTTCCCAAATGGAATTCCAAAAACATTATTTAATTAATAAGAGAAGCATAAATAAATCTAATAAGTTGCACTCAACACTGATGATGTTCTAAAACGTTTTGCACAACATGAAATGGAGGGACTAGTCTGTATCTTACTACTTAGCACAGTTGTTCTATCAGCATGAACAACTTCCTTGCATCAGAATAGGATCTTTCTCCTGTGAAATAGCCAGTTAAGGTGGAGAAAGGCTCCTTAGGCCGAGCAGAGTGGTAGGATACAGTATATTTTATTCTACTAAAACTGTGGACTTGAGTGCAGAATGTGATCCCCAATTCCAGCCGAGCCTGTGCTGGCGGGAGGGGGCTGATTTGCCTCCTCATGAGGCATGAAGAAAAGGACACCTGCGCTGCGAGAAGTGCAGCGCCAGGCAGGGGGCGGAGCCAGCCTATTTAGGCTTGGCTCCTGCCCTCTGCCTCAGCAGTTCTTTGATGTGCTAGATGGAGGCAGCACACAAGGTGGAGGATCGAGCAGGCTTTTGGGCCTCCTCGCAGCAGCGTCAGGAGAGGCACAGCATTTGCTGGCTCCTTGAAGCAGCAGCAAGTTTATGCTGCTGTGCGAGGAGAGCTTGGGGATGACGGCGGCTGGATCTTGGGTGGCTAAAGCACTCCGGAGACGGCAGCAAGAGCAGGCACAGGAATGAAATCAGGTGGCGGCAGTGTAAGAAGCGCAGCAGCGGCTTCTTGATGGTGGCACAGCTTGGCCCGGCCCGCAGAGGAGCACTTCAGTGTTAGGGAGGAGCCTGATTGTGGCATAGGGGCCTTAGTCCTTTGGCGGACGTTTCAGGGTTAGCCCCCACCCAGCCTCGGCTAGTAGGTAGTGAGTGGCACATTGTGAGTGACAGCACGGTAAGGCAGCCTCATCCCTGCAGCTTTATCACCCGCCCTATCTTCTTGCCTTATCAACCCCCACTTTTTTCCTCCACTCATCCACCCTCATTGCAGCCACACTTTTTAGGAGCCTGTGTTCTGCAGTGGAGGCCAGGTGTACAGTAGCCATTTTAGATTGAGGGAAGCAGCGGCCATTGAAGGGAGTTAACATGGGTGGCCATTTTAGGGCAAAGTGAAGCAAGGGCTTCTCCTCTGGTAGCCATTTTGGGGCAGTTAGGGTACATAAAAACATAAGAGAGGCCAGTGCTGGATCAGACCAGTGGCCAATCTAGTCCAACACTCTGTCACACAGTGGCCAAAAAAACCCCCCAACCAGGTGCCATCAGGATGTTGTCCCTCCAAGCACCAAGAATACAGAGCATCACATGCCCTAGACTGAAAGTTCCTATCTATACCTTGTGGCTAATAGCTACTGAGGGACCTCTGCTCCATATGTTTATTCAATTCCCTCTTGAAGCTGTCCATGCTTGTAGCTGCCACCACCTCCTGTGGCAGTGAATTCCATGTGTTAATCACTCTTTGGGTGAAGAAGTACTTTCTTTTACCTGTTCTAACCTGACTGTTCAGCAATTTCATGGAGTGCCCACGAGTTTTAGTATTGTGAGAAAGGGAGAAAATACTTCTTTCTCAACTTGCTCTATCCCATCCATAATCTTATAAACCTCAATCATGTCACCCCTCAGCCGTCGTTTCTCCACGCTAAATAGCCCCAAGCGTTTTAACCTTGGGAAAGGGGGAGGCAGGCATTTCGGCCTTCGCCTCTGGAGAGCGATTCCATTAAGAACAGCATGGATCCAAAAAGGGCCAGGGTGCCGCAAAAGGGAAGCAGCCTGGTCCTAAGTAGGTAGGGCAGGCTTTTACAGCAGGTCAGCAGCCCCTACCAAAGCAGCCTAATGATGGGGCCTTGCCTCCTATTTTGAGTGGCCCAGCATATTTGGCGGCCACAGGTGCTGTCCCTATAATGGGGCTTGTAGGTGTGGCTTCCGCAGTTGGCCCTACAGTGCCTTCTACGCGGGTGGGTGCCGTGTCTACGTAATTGGTGTCCTCAGCGGCTTCTACCTTTTCAGCTCCCTTGGGTGCCGTTTTGCCTGCGCCTTTATATGCTTCCTTGAATAACCCAGTAAATAGGGCTATTTTGGAAAGGTTGGCCACCATTGAGGAACGTTTGGGTGGGCTTTCATCCACTGTTGGTGGGAGCACTGCCCCGCAGGGTGTCTGCTGTGGGGAGGGGAAAGGAGTTTGTGGGCCACTCTGAGACTCCGAACGAGAGACAAAGAATAAATCCAATCCCTCCCTCCCTCCCTTCCTCCCTCCCTCCCTCCATCCATCCATGGTTGCTGGCATGGTTTTTTGAAGGTAGGATTTATAAGAGAACTAATCTCTGTGATACCTGACTTGCGGAATTTTGGGAGGGGTGTGTCTCAGTGAGAGACCATCTGCTTAGTGTGCATAGGGTCCCAGGTTCAATCCCCAGCATCTTTAGTTAATGGATTTGGTAGTGGGTGGTATGAAAAACCTCTGCCTGGGACTTGGTAAGCATTTGCCAGTTTGAGTAGGCTATACTCATTTTAGCAAGCTTGAAAGGATACAGTGCTATGAAGGGGCTGTTCCAGTTTGGTGTAGTGGTTAAGTGCGCGGACTCTAATCTGGGAGAACCGGGTTTGATTCATCCACCTGGCTGGATGACCTTGGGTAAGCCATAACTCTGGCACAGCTGTTCTTGAAAAAGAGCAGTTTCTGTCAAGAGTTCTCTCAGCCCCACCTACCTCACAGGGTGTCTGTTGTGGGGAGGGAAGGGAAATGAGTTTGTAAGCCGCTCTGAGACACCTTTGGGTAGTAAAGGGCGGGGTATAAATCTAATCTCTTCTTCTTCTTCTTCTAAGAATAAAAATTGATTCAGTACTTGTTGAAGCAGGGATTTTGTATTGGAGGCTGGAGACAGGGATTTCTGTTCAAATTGACATTTTACAGGATTTTATTCAGAAAGAAAAGGTAAATTGCCAATATTCAGATTATACTATTTGGCCGTCCTACGACGGGATGTATTTCCAGTGTGGAGTTAAGAGCAGTGGACCCTAATCTGGAGAACCAGGTTTGATTCCCTGTTCTTCCACATGAAGCCGGTTGGGTGACCTTGGGTCAGTCACAGTTCTCTTGGAGCTGTTCTCATGTTTCTCTCAGAGTTCTCTCAGCCCCACCTACCTTGCAGGGTGTCTGTAGTGGGGAGAGGAAGGGAGGGAGATTGTAAGCCGCTCTGAGTGAAGAGCGGGGTATAAATCCAGTCTCTTCTTTTCTTTTTCTTCTCTAGATTACTATAGAAGCCTTTATTGGTATCTAACCATAAACTACAAAGAGAAACAGAATTTGAGGGAGGTCCAGTGAGTTGACACGGCCTGGAAGAGTTGCGTGATTGCGACAGGCCGTGGAGGGGGCCAGCTAGGATGTGGCGGTGCTGCCATGGCAACAAGACATGAGGCAGGTGGCTTCCAGGGAGGTTCTGGTGGGGTCAGGGTTAAACAGGACCCATCGGAGGACCAGCAGGGCCTTGGGGGCCAGGGGGTCAGACAGCTGTTCTGCCCACTCACTTGGCCAAGAAAGAAGCTACTTGCAGGCAAGGCAGCCCAGCCTTACTCATGTATGTATGAAATAGGGTCCACTGAACACATGTTCCCATTACGGTGAATGAACATACAGCCTGCATGTATGAGCATACACCTGTTTGTAAAATGGAGCCGTGCACATTTACTGGGTGCTTGTCCTTGGTCTTTAGGATAGGAACACAGTTTCTATAAGAAATTATAGGTGCAATGCACTCTTCAGGGTAGAGTGTTTTTTGTTTTGTTTTTCCAAATAATTATATAAATAAATAAATGGTTTTTAAAGTGACAACACATTGTAGATTGGCTCTATCATGTTTTAAAAGCCAAACTAACTTTTTGTTAGGATGGGTCTCAGTGGTTAGTAGAGCTGGGAAGATTAAATACCGAGAAGTATTTCTGAATGCCTTACGGGGGCAGTCACTTGATTGCTAAAACATTGAATGCCTGTGAAAACGTTTTTTAAGGAACTCCGAGGTTCTGAAAGAACGTCTCCACAGTTTGACAATCCAGTGAAACTTGAATTGAGTCAGAATTGAGTGCAGGATTGCCAAAAATCCAAAGAAATAAGTCTTGTCTGCTTAATAGAGACTTAATGCGTGGAAATGCACAGCTGTAGTTTTTCATGGCATGGAGGTAAATAACATCACTGGATAATTAACATTTCTTTAGTGGGAGTGGACTTCCTTTGTACCCAGGAACATCAATAAGTTATTTCATTTGATCAGTGCAAACATGAGCTCTATGGACATTGGGCAGTGCCTTGCAAATCGCAATGACTGTGCAAATGCAAACAATGCTGTGTAAATGTAGTGGATTTACTAAAGCATTCTATGAAGGTATTGGGGAAAGGGAGCTCTAGAGGAACAGAGGCAACCCATTTATCTGGCAGTGAAAAAAGGGTCAATCTTTGCAACGTGGGGTGTTGCTTCACTTCAAGTTATTATGACGGTTACTGCTTTAGGCATGCGGATGGAACTCTGCTGATCAGGCACCCCTTTGCAGTGGTTAGCGCAAAGTTTGGGCAAGTTGGGCCTTTCCCAGGGTGAAGTTTGGAACGCACTCTTCTCGCTTCAGTGCCGCTTCCGCTGCAGCTGCCCTGGGTATGTGTTCCCTTGCCATGTGGTAGTGTCAGAGGGACCTTGTTCAGGTCAGGACCTTTGTCTAGTCACTGCACTCCTTTTTTGGGGGTGGTGCTGTGGATCAGTGAGCTGTGGTGCTTTTGCCTAGCATTCAAGAATGGAATTGCAAAGTTTTAAGTTATTAATGAGGTTTGTCCTTCAGGTGCTGCTGGCTGTGGGGTGGGACGAAGAATCAATGTCTGCGGCCACAGCATGGTCTTTTGGGCCACCCACTGGGCCAAGAGGACTCCCTGGCCGAGAAGGCCCTTGTGTTACAAGCTGAGGCAGACCTTGTAAAGATAAGAGCAAGGTGGCCCAGAGTGCGGATAGTCTGGCCAGCTATTCTGCTTCACCATGAAGGACAAGGCCCTTGTATTAAAGTGGAGGCTGGCCTTGTGATGATAAGAGCAAGGTGGCCCAGAGTGCAGATGGTCTGGTAGCTATTGTGCCTCACCATGAAAGGCAAGGCCCTGGTGTTACAAGCGGACTGGTTGCCTGGGGTGCAGCCTTACCATGATGGGCAAGGTGGCCTGGAGTTCAGATAGTCTGGTGGCTATTCTACCTCACCATGAAGGGCAAGGCCCCGGTGTTACAAGCGGACCGGTTGCCTGGGGTGCAGCCTCACCATGATGGGTAAAGTGACCTGGAGTGCAGATGGTCTGGTCGGCTATTCTGCATTGTCATAAAGGGCAAGGTCCTGGTCTTACAAGCAGAGGCTGACCTTGCGATGATAAGAGTAAGGTGGTCCAGTGTGCGGATAGTCTGGTGGCTATTCTGCCCTGCCAGGTTGGCACAATTTTAGAGACCCCGCTAGGCATAAAGACAGCCAGTTGCCCGGGGTGCAGCTGATCTTGTCTGCAATTTGGCTGTGTGGAGTAGTCTAGGGGTTCCTAGGTCCTTGGGCGGGGCGTGACGAAACGCCAATTGGCAGCTTAGAAATGCCATGGAAGATGGCTTGGGCCTCTTCTTGTTGCACCCTGATATACGGGTCGAGTTAACAGACCTGTATAGGGGGGACAGGGTGCACTGCTTTAACAAGGGCAATGGTATATTTATGGCAGATTTGAGGCAAGGGGTGCTGTTGGCGCTGGATCGCTTGGTGGGGGTGAAGGCCAAAGCAGAGGCTTGGCCTTTGCTATGGCAGGATAGCGCAATCAGGAAGTTGAAAATGGTGAGCAACTGGGCATTGTTATAAAGTAATTAAAGGCTCCTCCAAGAATGGCTTTTGGGCCTTTGCGGCTCAAGGCCGGGAATGGGGTGATCTTCCTTAGAACAATCTGGCCCGGCCTATCTCAGCAGGCCTTGTGGCTTCTGGGATGGTGGGCCGGGGGGTTCTCCTAAATACCAAGCCGCCGGTCGAGAGCTACATTGAGTGGCTCGAGATCGGGGAAGGTACATCGCCCAGAAGGAGATGAAGGTGGTCATGAGTTTGACACCGGTCATATTCCTTAGGACATTTTTAGCAGCACCTCGCCAGTTGTTTGATTATAAATAATTAATAAAGTGGCCCTTGTTAGATCCATATTGGTGTCCGTCTCTTCATTCCGACTGTGGTAGCAAACTGGAATGCAGACCTCCAATGTAGGAACTAACAGTGACATAATTTCATTGTATGGAAAGGTACCAAAAACATATAAATCAGGGGCCTAGGGTGATTCCCAGGCCTTGGTAGGCTTCACTATACATGCCTGAAGGTCCGTGGCATCACAAGCAAAGAAGCACCAAATGAGCAATAGGTGATTTCCTCTTAGTGCCAAAATACTTTACTTTTTTTTTCATTTAAAAGAAATGATGTTACTTACGAACTGGTAAAGTCTGAAATGTCTCAGTTTTGCTATATTCTCCTTGCCCTTTTCCATTTACAGCAGCAACCTTGATTTCATATGTTGCATTTGGTTCCAGGTTATTGAGAACAACCATTGCTAAAAAGAAAAAAAACCGTGATAAATATATGTATACACAACTGGGGCCCCCACAAGGACTTATGGGGGCACCTGATTTTCTCTCTGTTACTACATCCTCATTCTTTTCCCAGAAAGCCCCCATGGCTTCTCCCCTTTTCCTGTTTTCTTCTCTATTTTTCAACCACCAGCCAATCTACTGATATCTGCCCCCTTGTCTTCAGCTTTCCTTGCGTCCATCCCCTTGGCAACTTGCCACTTGTCCCACTTGCATGGTACCAGCTGAGCTGGGCCGATTTGCACTGGAGGGAACGTCCTAGATCTGTGGGGGGCAACTTTATCCTGCATCCACTCTCCACACTATTTCCTCTTTCCCCATATCCATTCCCTCATCCCAGCAACTCCCATATTCTCACATTTCTCTGCTTTCTTCTCCTCTCCTTCACACCCACTAACCAATCTAAGTTTTTATCTCCCACCACTTCATTTATACCCTACCTTTCTCCAAAATGGGGACCCAATATAAATTCCATCATTCTCCACTCCTCCAGTTTATCCTCTCAACAACCCTATGAGGTAGGACAGGCTGAGAATATGTAACTGGCCCAAGGTCAGAGAAATGAAGCAGAGTGTCAGAACCCACAGCCAACAATGAAGTACACACATTCAGGAATGGTTATACTTTTATTGCAGAGCTATAGATGCAGTAACATAGGCACTGTTAAGAATGGTGGCGGCTCCATGGGCATAATAGGATATAGGGTATTCGTATGCACCCCCCCCCACAGCACTGGCCAATTAGACACCCTCCCGCATGCGGGATAAAGCTTAGAGACTGTTAGGTAGCTGAAGCTGAGAATGAACACTCTCCCACGACACCTAGGGAAAACCCAGACACCACAACACACTCCTGCACATCTGTATAGATAAGCATTTTGGTGCACAGCAGAGAAAGCACAGAAAGGAATGCAATAGCAATTAACCAGATACAGACCAAACTCCCCAACCTTCATGGCAGCATAGCTGACACAGAGACCAAGCCTGGAATGCTGGCCAAATTGTTGCAATTGAAACAGCCATGATGCCGGTGTCTAATTTGCCCTATTTGGGAAAATTGATCAAGAGGTCAGTGGCGACAAAGCTACAAGGCTTTCTGGATGACGCTTCTGTCCTTGATCCATTCCAGTCCGGCTTTCGCCTGGGGCATGGGATGGAGACGGTGCTGGTTGCCCTTACTGACGACCTATGGAGGCATCTGGATCGAGGAGGCATGGTGGCACTGTTGTTGTTAGATATGTCGGCCGCATTTGACATGGTCGACCATCAGTTGCTGACCCGCCGCCTCGCCAACGTGGGAATACAGGAGCTTGCTCTTCAATGGCTTGCCTCATTTCTCCAAGGTTGGGGACAGAGGGTGGCGATAGGGGAACAGTCCCGGAGGCACCCACTTGAACGTGGTGTGCCTCAGGGGGCAGTGCTTTCCCCGATTTTGTTTAACATCTACATGCGCCCCCTTGCCCAGATTGCCAGGAGGTATGGGCTGGGTTGCCATCAATATGCAGTTGACACCGAGCTCTATCTGATGTTGGGCAGTCAGTCAGGCTCTGACCCAGAAGATCTGAACCGGGCATTACAGGCCGTGGCTGGGTGGCTCAGGCTGAGCCGGCTGAAACTAAACCGAGCGAAGACTGAGGGCCTGTGCTTGAGTCGGATCAGTTCGGGGTTGGGGGTCCCTCTCCCAACCTTCGACGGGACGCCTCTGGTGTCAGCGTCAGAGGTTAGGAGTTTGGGAGTGGTCCTGGATCCCCCTCCTTAACTATGGAGGTCCAGGTGGCAGCCACTGCCAAATCAGCATTTTACCACCTTAGGCTGGTTCGGCACTTGGTTCCCTTCCTTGACCGTGATGGCCTGGCTACAGTGATCCATGTGACTGTCGCCTCAAGGCTAGACTACTGTAATGCTCTCTACATGGGGCTGCTTTTGCCACAGATCCGGAAGCTGCAGCTAGTGCAGATGGCTGCAGCCAGGCTGTTGATGGGTCTCCCCAAGCAGGAACACATCCAGCCTGGGCTGAAAGCGCTGCACTGGCTGCCAACAGTATACCAGATCTATTTCAAAGTGCTGGTACTTATTTTTAAAGCCCTATATGGTCAGAGTCCGACCTACCTGAGGGACCGCCTTTGCCCACACATACCCCCACGAGCACTTTGGTCCGGGACACAACATCGGCTGGGGATTCCAGGCCCCAGGGAAGCAAGGCTCCTACCTGGTGGAACGGGCTCCCAGAGGGGATCAGGGCCGTGCGGGACCTTCTGCTGTTCTGCAGGGCCTGTAAGACGGAGTCCTTCCGTCAGGTTTTTACGTAGGGGCCGCCGCTGCCACCACCACAAATGGTGTGGGTAACAACAGGGCTAGGGGGGATGGTCCCTGGAAGATCTGCCAGGATACTGCGTGGTGCGTATACCAACTGGCTGTACACCAACTACAGGAAAACACCACCATTATGAAAGACTGATACCATCTTGTAATTTTATTCAGTGACTATCTTGTTTTTTACTGAGAACATTATTGATAATTACTGGTTTTACTGTTTTTATATGATTTTATGCATGGACACTTGTTGCTCTTTGTAAGCCGCCCTAATCCCGCTTGCGGGGACGGCGGGATATAAATGCTAAAATAAATAAAATAAATAAATGAATGAAGGGTGTCTTTTTTAAAAGCTACGGGTGTTCTTTTTATTGTTTTTTTAAATTTTGAAGTATTTTATTGTTTTTCAACAACACAGTTACAAATAGAAGTGCACAAAAAGAGAAATATACATCCAAAACGATTTAAAACATCAGAGACGTTGACTACATCATGCAAAAACAGATATTAGCAAATACATTCTACCAAATAACGAACTAGATGTAAAGCAGAAATTGCATGCAATGTGTTTGTGAGTATAGTATGTGATGTATAAAAGGTATTGCAAGAATTCACCATCAGGCATTGTATAACGAAAGCAATAGAAAAAAGAGGTATCGATAGGTCAGAGTGAGTGTTATGAGTGCAGGAGAGTAAAATAGATTGGATTATGTGGTTGGCATTCGTTTGTTAAGACATAGTCCAAGAAAGGGAGTCATTTTTCATTGAAACTGGATGATTTAGGATATATTTCTGACTGCTGCCAACGGTCAGTAATCTTTTCCATAATGTAATGTTCCCAGACTTTTTAAAACCAATTGTTGCATGTCGGGGCAGTGGGAAATTTCTATTTTGACACAATTAAGCTCTTTGCAGCAACCAAAAGGTTGATTATAAGTTCTCATCTAATCTGCGGGATGTTTATTTTCTGCCAGATATTTAAAAAAAATTATTTCAGGTGAGAGTGGAATCTCATAGGCCGTTATTTGATGTATAAGGTGTAAAACATCTCGCCAAAAGTTGGAAATAGCTTTACATTGCCACCAGCAATGAGCAAATTATTCTATCTCCCCACATTTTTTCCAGCAGAGGGGGAAGTGGTCAGAAGTTATCTTGGCTATTTTTTCTGGAGTGAGGTACCCATGTGGTTACAATTTTGTATGACTGTAACTTTGTGGCAATAACAGATGAGGACAGCAGCTTTGACGACCAAATGTTCTTCCATTGTAACTCAGTGAATGTTTTGTTGCAGTCTTGATGCCATTTTTGTTGAAAGGTTTTCCTCCATCAAGGCGCACCAGGATATCATATTTTTTTGAGATTAAGCCTTTGGTGGTTTGATTCATAGGATTTATGAGTTGTTCAAACGAAGAGAGGGGAGTATTCATGATGTGTTTTATGTCTAGTTATGACATGACATGACTCATCTGAAGGTATAAGAACCACGGTATGGTACGATCTATATGGGTTTCCAATGTTGCTTTGGGAAGGAAGCCAGTCTTGGATGAGAGATCTGCTAAGGATGTTTTTTTAGCCTTCCTCAAGATGTCAGCTAATGCCAATTCATTTCCCGGGGGAAATCAGCTTTGGAAGAGAAAGGAGGAATATTGTGATGTTTCTGGCACTAATTTGTTCCTGAAGCAGTTCCGTACTTTAAGAGTCGCTGATAGAAAGTTGTGAGTTTTTGCTATGTCTGGACACTCTCGAGGGTTATTCCATATTACATCTTGTATTGATTTTGGGTAAAGGAAGGGTTGAAGTGGTTTGATCCAAAAAGCTTGGTCACCCATCTTTAGCATCTTAAGTATAAAAGCCAGCAAAGTCATTTGGTGGTACATTGTTAGGGCTGGAAAATTCAGCCTTCCCTGTGAGTTGTGGCATTATTTGAAAACTTGTCCTGGGTCGTTTATGGTTCTGTAAAAAGGAGTTGAGGGCACATTGTCATTCCTTCAGTAGTTTGTTAGGTATTGCAATGGGTAGAGTCCAAAGTAAGTATAGTAATTTAGGGAATGCAAAATATTTAACTAGATGAAATCTGTCAAGGAAAGACAGTGTAGTCCATTTTCATAAGTCTGATCTGATGTCCTGGAATTTGGCAATGTGATTGAAATTTAATAGATCCTGCATTTTTCAAGGTATCTGAATATCAAGATAAGGCAAGGATTTGTCAATCCGTTGATATTTAAAATTATTTTGGATGAGGTTCTCTGTCTCTGCAGATAGATTAAAGGATAACAAGCTATGTTTAGAATGATTAATTTTTAATCCAGAGATGTGATTGAAAGATTGCAAAGTAGAGTGAAGATTATGGAGGGAGCACTCCGGATTAGTCATATACACCAACACCATCTGCAAATACTTAATTTAAATGTATGTGGTCCAATATCAATGAAATGTATCTGGGGGTCTTGATGTATCATTGTGGCTAGTGGCTCCAGGGCTAATGCAAAGAGGATTGGTGATAAGGGGCATCCCTGCCTTGTTCCCCTGCTGAGAACAAAATCTTCAGAGGTGATGCCATTGGTCTTAATCATAACAGTGGGGTTGTGATAACTTGCCGAAATCACTTGTAGAAATGAAGTCCCAAATCCCATAAATTCAAGTAATGCTGT